CATGTCACAGTTTTAGACAGGTGGTAGATATACACATGTCACAGTTTTAGACGGGTGGTAGATATAGACATGTCACAGTTTTAGACAGGTAGCACTTTTTGACATGTGGTAGTTATAAAAATGGTAGATACCGACAGTTGGTAAATATAGGGAAGTGACATCTATGACAGGTTTCACTTGGTATATTATACCAGTTATACAGCTATAGACACACAGTCTCTAAATAAGCAAGGTATATGGTTGCCATCCCACTTAGCTCAAGATGTGCCTTTTAAGGTGAAATTAAGTATGGATTTAGAACCAGGTATCCGTCAGGAAGCAACAACTTGGAGGAGGTTAAAGAACCTGTACAACGACGTACAGCACATAGGAAACTTTGGAATAAATTATGTACAGTGTTAGTATAGTGTTTGCATAGATTTATTTTTATAGTCGTTTGTGAGGGAAGCATATCCTCTGTAGTGGTGCTAGACTACTCTTATTTCCAACTCTAGAGAGGAAACGTTGTCCTGCGTGGCAACACGAGACCTAGCTTAAATATAGATTTAAGTCCTTTCAAAGGGACAATCAGTAATGGGCACACAAGAACTCGGCGGTCGTAAGCTCAAACGATATCATCACATGATATGATCTCAGTCTTTAACGTTTTTACGTTTAGCATGATGCTTTGCTGAGTGCTAAACTTCAATATTTTATCCATAATAAGGGCTGATATAAATTCTCTGTCTATACCACACAGGAAAGATCAATTACTTTTCTCCCCCACTTTCTTACAGTAAAATATATTCCAGGTTGAGATAGAGAATCTGTACACCTTCCCATCATCAATGGTGCATGAAATGCTAACTCAACTTAAAATGATGACTGGATCCTATTGTGAAGTGATGTTTCTAGTGTAGCGGAACTAGCTATAGACTTGGTTGATCGTCAGAGACCAGGTAGCTCAATTGGTAGCTGGTCTGTCTAGAGTTTGGAGGGTCACTGGTTCAAACCCTGGTCAGGTAGTGCATTTTTCCTCTCCTGTTACAGTGGTGCTTGTGATCAACCCTTGTTTCCAACCTTGGGCGTACGTTTGACAAGGGGATACCTGAACCTTGGTTGTAAATAATTGTGCTTTGGGGCAAAGACTAAGAAAAAGGAGGGAGGAATGCTGTAGCAGAACTGGAACCCGGTCTGGTCATGCATTTTTCTCTCCTGTTACACTAACACAATTGTGTATGTAGACAAGATGGGTAAAGACAAATTTATCGTTTCAGTTGGAAAAACAAGAATACATCTAAGTAAAAACATAAAAACAGCTCTGTATAGTAAACTCTCTTCCACAATGATATATAACTGACGTAGTGTTAGCTTTACTTGAAAACCACTCTTTTCCAAAAGTGATCTACATTTGTATTGGTCTCTAAAGGAGGCAGGTTGTACTGTATTGATATGCAATAGTCATTGATATTTCTTTTCTGCCAAAAGTCGGTATTACTGCTATTCACATTATACTGATAGATAATTTTGCACCAACGGCACAGACGCGACCTGTACACATGTATTGATCTGCAATCAATATCTATAAAGCTGGTGCATGCCTCTGGTTGGAGCTAGTCCCAGGTGAAACATGTGTGACATTTAACATCAAAGAAAATGATTCTGATCAGAATCACATTTGTTTACTTTGTGTCTTCCTCCTACCGGTCAGGGGTGATTAAACTGGTTAGATCCGTCAACAAAACCACTGGCCCGAAGTGAAAAATGGAAACGTTTATACTGCAACCACTAGACAAAATGGCAGATGGCATACGTAATTTTATAACCTTCAACTTATTACTCCAACTGACAAAACATCTGGTATTCCTGACCCTGCAGCTAAGGAAAACAAAGCAATGCATCAGAAGAAATCCATAGTCCCCTACAACTGGTCGAACCATTATTTACCCCCATCCCTCCCTCTTAAATCTTGTTGTTCACTTTCCATGGTTCATCTATAAAGAAGGACACAATTGTTCTTCCTTTTGCCTGCCTCTTCCTCTAGAACCTTATTCACCTTACAAAGCCACTTACTTCTTCAGGACACCTGTTCCCCTTTTCACTACTCCCACCTTTGGAGTCCTTGTTCTCCTTCCATCATTCCAAATACCTGTTCATGTTCCATAATCCCCTTCCTATACACCTGTTTCCCTTTGAATCACCCCATCTGTCTGGAACTATGTTCACTTTTCCCTATCCCTTCCTCTAGGACCTTGTTCACCTTTCCTTATAACTCCCTCTGGATACCCATTCACCCTCCACTGCCACACCCCTCAGAACACATGTTCCCCTTTCACCCCAACCCCTCCCTCCAGATAACTGTTCACCTCCCATAGTCCCCTCCCTAAAGAGACCTGTTTCCCTTTTAACCACCAATTTTGTCTTGACCTACGTTCACTTTCCCTAACCATAGTTAAATGTTTGCCATCCCTTCCCCTGAAACCTTATTCACCTTCCATGGCCTGCTCCCCCAGGGCACCTGTTCCCCATTTCCCAACTCCTTCCATCTGGAACCTTGTTCACCTTAAGGACACCTGGTCCCTTTCCAGCATCCCTTACATCTGAAACTTAGCTCACCTTATATTACATGGTACTATCCCTCATAAGACACGTTCCCTTTTACCCCAACTCTCCCTTCAGATACCTGTTCACCTTCCATAGTCTCCCTGTCCCTGTTCCCCTTTACACCACCACCTCTGTCTAGGCCCCATGTTCACTTTCCCCATGCCTCCCTCTGGAACCTTGTTCACCTTCCATGGCCACATCCCTCATGACACCTCTTTCCCTTTACCCTATCCTATACCTTCAGCCATTGCTCACCATTTTCCCACCTTCTACACTGAGCCATTGTTCAACTTTTCCCCACCCTCTACCTTGAGCCCTTCTTCTCTTTTTCCCCACCCTCTTGTTTGAGCCCTTCTTCCCCTTTCCCCCACCCTCCACCTCTGATCCATTCTTCAGCTTTTCCCCATGCCCTTCCCCTGAGCCCTTCTTCCCCTTTTCCACACCCACTTACTTGAGCCCTTTATCCCTTTTCCCCACCCTCTTAACCTCTGAGCCCTTGTTTCTCGTTTTTTCACCCCCTACCCTGAGCCTAATTGTTCATCCTTTACCTACCCTCTACCAATGACCCCTTGTTCACTACTCCCAACACCTCCCTCCCTCCTCCTTTTCATCTCCCCCCCCCCCCCCCCCCTCCCATCCCCTTTACAGCCCTGATCACCTTTCCCCATATGTCCCTGTGAACACTGATTCATCTTCCTGAGGCTGTCCCCCTGGATTCCTTTAGTGCCAAAGCAATAATAATACTGTAGAATGATGTTAAGACAAATAAGAAATAGATAGTTTAATAGCATCATTACCAATCAGATAATTGCCTTTGTTAATACTTCACAACACAACAACTACCGAATGCATTAAGGACAATTTAATTCACCCATTGCAATGAGAATGAAAAGACTCATTTTGTTGTATCTCTGGAGAAATTGACGTTGTCTTAAAAACACTATGAATAAAAAAATACATATAAACATATCTGACTTTCTCTAGATTGGAAAAAAGAACGAAATATAAATGTGTTGTCATCCAAAAGTCGATCTCTTAACTGTTCATGATCATTAAATTTACAACAAAAATAAAAATACATATTTTGGCACCACTGATCAACATTAAAAGTTATAATAGTACTGATTTTTTCCTCATTATTTTGAAGAATGAAGACAATTTCAAAACCTTATTACAAAAATGTAACAACAAATTACAAAGGACCTACATGTCCTTGTATTCAGAATGTTAACAATTAACTAAAATCCATTACAAGATTGTTTATTTTTGTTACTGAGAGTGGTAAAATGGAACTTTGAAAACTAGAATGATTTAAACATAAACTCCATGGTCTAATGGAATATGTATGCACTTTATATCTATTTGTTTCAAACTACATATAAACATTGATTTTTTAGTCTGCAAACACATATATAGAAAAACTCAATTTAATGAGAAAATCATTATGGTTGGATGAATTTTAAATCATCCAACCTTAATGATTTTCTCATTAAATTGAGTTTTTTGCAGACTATAACATCAACAAGGCAAATAGGTATGTATAATGCCAGTTTACTGCATTAATACTTGTGTACTTAAGCTATGGAATTCTCCTGTAAACATCTAATGAAAGCCTATTAGAGACAACTCTGCTGATCTTTTTTTTAATAATGTATACATATGATTTCAGCTTCAGATTTTAAGCTCAACTGAAATGCATAAAATGGCTGTGTCAACAGTCTCTTCAATCAGTTGTGCATCGTATGTCAATCATGTCCTTTCGTTAACCCTTTCAAAACTATAAACTATAATGGACCTATCCAGATCAATGCATGGTAGAGTTTATCAAAGTTACATAGGGGTGAAAGGGTAAATAAATGAAAACATCACGCCAGCATGCAGTAAAATGTTGATCATTGTCACTTATTAAAAAAAAAAGTCATCATTCTAAGTAATTGAAATAAATCTGAAACTTGGGAATGTACATGTTTTCTTTGGACGGAAGTAAACATAATCAATTTCCAAATGCACTATGAGCAGAGCAGCTAATATATCCCATTTCAAACCATCTAACATAACCAATTGACAAATATATACGTCTACGACGAAGCTGGCAGGATAAGCTATATGGAGTGTGTTATGAAAAGACCCGTTCACATGCAAAATTGCATGTACATTTCAAGAGCTCTGCATATCTTTGATCTTGAATTCAAAGCATTTTTTCCGGTTTCTATAAAGACTGGTGTCGTGAAAATTCACAAAAAAAATGATGGTCTCAAAAATTTGACAATACGACATTCATGTTCACAAGTCTCCACGACTGCAAACGGAATTGAAACGTTGCTTAAATGATTAAGAATTCTTTTCATTACAGGTTAGAGAAAGATTGGGAGGGGAAAAAAGTCTGCATGTATTGATTAAAAGTGAAATTAACTCACCAGAGATGCCTCGCTGTCCAAATCTTCGGTAATGACCGATTGTATTTTGCTAAAACCACTTCTGCTTGAGGTTATTGACGGAACTCGATCCCTGACCTCATGAAAGAGATCTAGACCGGATCCTCCGTGTTTTCGTAACCGGCGTTTTCTCGAGTCTGATGTTTTGTGTTCGTAGCTGTTGAAACGTCTGAAGAAATTGTGTACACTACCCGTTAGCTGGTTGCTATGGAAACTATGCTCGCTGTTATTTGAATTAATAATACCACCGGTATCGTTGAGATAGTGCAATGCAAGTTTGCCTGTTAACACCGCCTTAATGACATTTTGTTGGTCCCGTAATATTCCTGGATAGATTTCAAATGGCGACACATTACTTGCATTTTTCACATAGATTTTTGCTCCATATTGAAGTAATCCGCGCGCACATTGTAGACTGTAAAATTGTTCGGACACAGCAATATGTAACGGCGTCAGACCATGTCTATCTTGGACGTTCGGATCTGCACCGTATTGCAGTAGCAAAAGAACTACTAGTGGTCTCCCATGCACAACTGCTGCAAAAAGCGGCGGTAAATTAAACAATTCCTCTTGACAATATACACTTGCTAGGTCAATCGCAATTTCTTTAACGGTACCTGGGTCTCCCGCCAAACGAGCGGTATGTCGTCTGCTTGCAGACAATTCTACCACATGTTTTACGTGTTCCTCTATGACCGGATTCACATGCAGTGTATTGGTATTAGTGGAACCTAGACATTCGATGACGGTCGGAGTACTAGCACTGCTTTCACCTTCGGCTGTGTTCGATGGACGACGAAAGCCGGCGGTTGTGACATTGAGCGTATTGCTTCTGGTTTTCTGTCCATGCAGTAGTGCCGATGATTTGCTTGTTGTTGCTGTAGAAGTATTGGTGTTGGAGGAGGGACCAGTATTAATTTTCACAGAATCAATATGAATATTTCCGGTAGTTGTATTCGATTGTGTTATCAAATTGATACTGGGAACGCTAGGATCGACACCATATCGTAATAATACTCCGAGGGAATCAATAGAGTTGTGTACTATCGCTAAATGAATCGAAGTTCGAAATATATTCGGGATATCCACATCAGTTGTTATACTCTCGCGTCGATCCTGGAATTCAAATTGATCGATTCGTGTTTGACTCTTTCGGAGAACGTACTCAGCGAGGCCAGGATCATGGCTGCACCGACTGCTTGTCCGTCGACTCCTGGACTCGAAGCTCAATCTATCTGAAGTGCGGCTATCATTTGTACGATCTTTTTGAAAACTAATTGGGAATTTTGCATGATGTAAATCGAGAGTTTTTTTAATGATGTACGTATCATTTTCTTTGATAGCCTTTTCTAACTGTTCCGATTCACTCGAGAGGTCAAAGATGGATGAAGTGATACTACTAGCGCGCGCTGATGATCCCGAACTTCGTGACGTCAACCAAATATTCCCGGGTATAGAAAGTAATTCTGGACTGTATTGTTCCGGTATATGATCGGAAGTGACGTCAGGTACTATAACCAAATCTGGGATAGGGCTGCACATCGCATGCTGGCCCTCCCTCCATATTCGGCCGGTCATGCTCGTTCCTTCTCCGTCATCGCTATCATACCTGTGGGAATAGAGACACAGTGATTTTATTACATAGGTACTGTATATATTGATTGCCCTATTCAATTCATTAGAGCAGCAAACGTACTCAGCAATAGATTATGAGCAGGTGTCACTATTTCAATTATCAACACACCTGGTCTACCTAGAGGCTCCACTCAGGTAAATAATACACTGCGAAGTACTGTGACCGTCTATGATAGAAGTCGAAATCAAATAGGTAGTCACCTGATACTGTTGCTGAAATGATTGCATGCACGATGATGGTGAGTTTGTCATGTTTATTTTTGAGACATCGAACCTTCTTTATCTTTGAGGATAAACTATTGTTTTCAATTTTCTTATTGGTGTGCCTCAAGGATCAATCCGGACGAGGTTTTCCAGATACATGTTTTCGGACTATGGAGGTTTAATGTAACACGGATGCCCGGACAATCAAGGGCCAAGTGTACATGTAGTAACATGATAGTCTAGACTACAAAGAATAACATGTATTACGATTTTTAGGGGGTTGTCGAGGGTCACGTGCATCATGGTACTTGTATTAAATACGACCCAGATTAACCCTTAAGGTTGGGGAAGATTCTAGTATTCTCGCACCCTTCATAGGTGTGTCTCCCGTTTTAGCCAGTGTTTTTGTTTACACTGACAGGTCTATGGATGGTTGTGTGTATCATGGTATTTCGAAGCTTACCTGTACTGTCAGGTCTATCGAAGCTTACCTGTACTGTCAGGTCTATCGAAGCTTACCTGTACAGTCAGGTATATCGAAGTTTACCTGTACTGACAGGTCTATGGAGGGTTGTAAGTATCATGGCACTGTATTTGCGTATATGACACTGTCCAGAATATCGAAGTTTACCTGTAATGTCAGGTCTATCGAGGGTTTTGAGTACCATGGCCGTCCAGACGATTAAAATTCCGTGTACTACGGTGGTCCGGCCTTTCGAGGTTCTGTATTGTATACTTGTCCGTAAATTGGAGGGTTGCGTGTTCAAGGTTTGTACGCTAACAAACCAAATGGATGTAATTTGTGACACCTTTACTATTATTACATGATTTACATTACAAAACAACTTCTGGGTTTTTTTTCTTGTTAAATATATATTTGTTATTTTAAGCCATTTCTGAAAATTTCGCGTCAAAACATTTCAGCGTTATGTACACACGGATAACATGGAAAACATACTTCGCTCTGCAGCCTCACTTACAGGCCCGGTTAACATGTACGCGACGTCAGTACGCTAAGCTGAATTAGGTACATTGTCACGGATAAGCTAAATCAATATCATAACGACAGACTTCACGTACATGTGTGCGTGTATAGTTCACGTGCATTTGCGATTGCGATGTTATACGAAATGTATACATTACGAGAGACCTCGCGTGCATAATAAGTACGTGTTCAGGTGTTTACATTAAGAGGAAGCGCACATACATGAGTGTGTGTATAACAAGATACTTCACTTACATGTGTGCGTGTATAGATGCATACATTTCGAGAGACATCACGTGCAAATGTGCATGTATATATATGTACGTTACGAGAATTGACGTTAAAGTAAGGTGTGGGTGTATAGATGTATACATTACGAGATTACGTACTTCTGTGTGTGTACAATACATATACAATATATACATAACGAGTGAGGTAATGTACACTGTACATGTGTGTGTGTGTTTATTTATACATTACATTTACGAAAGAGTCCACGTGCATGTATGCGTGCATAGATGTATACATTACGAAAAAGCCCACGTGCATCTAGCGAGAGGGAATGGATAACGATTTATATACATCATAACGAATTGGAGATTATGTTTCTCTCACGTTTCGTTATTTCGAACTTTTTTCTTTCAAAATTTAAACAGTGGACTAGGATTGGTGATAAAACTATATCTCCATGTAATATAGATGGATTGGATCCCGCCGTCTAAATCACAATAGTCCAATTCTCTATGTATTTCCCTTTTATTAAATGTCTGTTTTGATGTGTGTTGTACAACACATTCCTAAAACCTCCAAAGGCGTTTATTTTTATTTATGTCTAAAATACACACTTGTATAGCATCCGTCTAGTACAGTCTGCCATTTTCACATCTTTATCGCTCATTTATTTTATTTAAAACGACATTATTTTTCGTGTTTGAAAATGTAAGTATAAAGCTTTTAAAATCTGTAAAAATATGAAAGCACTACATAATTTCTCTAGCGGTTAAACTATAAATGTTTTACCGATATTTCCATGGCAACATAGTAGTTTCTCTCGTAAAGAGAGATAAAAGACGAGATTATTAAATGAATACACTGGTTGATTAGAAATCTCAAATCCCAGGTCACAAATTAATGAATAGAAAGCATTAGTTTAAATGGAATCCTCGCGATTTTGACTCGTGTGAAGTTTGTTTAATCAGAAGCGCTGGTTTGAAAACGGGCAGGTTAACTGTATAGATAGTCCCTATTACACGAAACATAGAATGTTTCCTCGAGATTGGAAAAGGCCTAGAAAACACGCGTAGATTTGTTTGACAAATACTGGAGCGCGGGAAGGGACGAACACAGGTGCGTTTTCTTCCCCACACAATGCTCAAGATTGCAGCGATTTCAGCGATTAACAGCCATTTAACGAGCCGTAGATAATCCATGTATACCTCCCCGAAAACCCGTAGATAATCCATGTAGACCTCCCTGAAAACCCTAGCTATCGCCCTGTCCTCTGATGTGGTAACGGCCACCTGATCTTTCTACATCGAAACCATCACCGTATCTCTCTCATCCTCGCCCTTTATCCATTCACTTACTCCATTACTTCCATCAGTCCGTTCTTCTTTCTCTCCGTTCACCTCTTCCTGCTTTCCTTCTTTGATCATTCTACTTTTTTCTCTCCCTCCCCACTCCCCCTCCCCTCTCTTTCATCTCGTCTTGAAGCGTACGTAACACCAGTTATAACTAGAATATGTTTAAACCCATGTAGTCTAACCACAGTGTAGTTCCCCTGTCGCCTGGTTCCTAACGAGCCTATGTAATGTAAACCACATTCCGGTAACTTTATACAATGTATACAGTTTGAAGAAGATGGCTTAACAACGAAGCTATCTGGTTCTCATTTACTTATATACAAATGTAACTAGAAGCTCATTTTTTCTTTTCTTCAAAGTTTATCAGATTAACTGATATTTCGAATTGACTATACTTATATCCGTTTGTTCATTGCTTGATATCACGTTAATGTGTTAATAACTATGCTTTACCACGTAAATAGTCAAATCCTCAATAATAGTTCGGATGTTGGTCTTTTCTGAATCTGTTTCATTGATCAGATACCTTTTGTTACAATCGTTACATTATGGCGGTAAAGGACTTAGGTGGGCAAACAAAACGGATAGTGTAACTAGGCCTGTATCTACTAAATATAAAATACTTCTATTTTTTATTTAAAAAAAAAATATGAAACCGTTACATGATAGCGTGTTAAAAGCCGTATTGACTTTTATCACGAGGTCGAAGTTTATACAACTTCTTACATCGTTGGATACCCACGGTCGACTGCACTATTAAACTTGATTAAGTGTTTAGGTAATACATGTACCGTCTATTGTAGCATTCGACCGTGGGTGTCCGACAGTGTACTCTCCAAAAGTTGGTGAATGTACTGATGTCCGAGAATAATCTTGTTTCCGAGGGCGAAGCCCTGAGTGAAAATCAATTGATTATTTGAAGAATAACAAGGAATCGAGTTTCCCTATCACAAGGGTAATAAATACAACTGTAGTTTATTCTGCAGGAAAGACAACAATAACCCATTGGTATCAGTGATCAGGTTGTCGCGCCATAGTTGTCAGCTGATTCAGTCACTCGGACTTGGTTGTGTTACCTCTTGTGAATTTTTCTGGAGAGGCTCCGAATAAGGGAAATATGATCGAGCAAACTCGAGCGCGTGAGCTAAACAAAATGTTTATTTCCTTGTCATGTGGTCAATATAATCAAATCAGACACACTGTTATACAGATGAGGTCTTATAATACTTGTAGATGTTCTGTACGGCGTTCGTTTAATGAGAGATAAAAAGGACCGTATTCAGGTAGGCGGATTAATCTTTTTTACCTGCTAGGATTATTAATGAGGAATTATTCTTTGATAGAACTGTAAAAATGATTTCTGAATTAAACAAATCAAATAAAGGGTTCACAAGAATTGGAATATATCTGCTAAAATGTATAAACTCTAAGTATTAAGGTATTCGAAACTTTTCAATATTTACCGTATTACATATATTTCCTGATGTTCAACATTTCTCAAACAAAAAGCATAGACATCCAAGTCGGGGTTTTGCTTCGTACACAATATCTTTTATTGGTTGATGGGTGTGACGTCTCTCCAGGTGGCATGTACGTAAAATCCACTACGTTAATATTTCATCAATTTCAAATGTTTATTCATATTCAATATCTAATAAATAGTTCAAATATGAAGTGAAACTTTTCGAAGAAAATAAAATCTCTAGAAGCCTAAACTTTGGGACCTGGACATTGTCCCTTTAACCGTGTGTAGTGTAAGCAGGTCGTGCAGCCTCATTACGAGGGAACGGAACTCTGATTGAATTACTTAACCAAATGAATAAACAAGGCGGGACTCGCCCTAACAGTGACCGTGTTACATTATGAAG